TGCAATTCCGTGTCCTTCCCATGGCATGGAAGCCAGTCAGGGCAACGCAGGTGCTGACAAGTGAAACAGCCTGAAGGTGGAAGGAAAGGCACAGTCAGGGAGAGAAGACACAGGCCTGGGTCTGGTTAGCACCCCAAAGGCGACCAACCTGTGACTGCTGGCAGTCAAGTGCAGTTGCGAAAGGCCATTGAAACCTACCCCCTGGCTGGGCTCAGGTTCAGAGCGCCTGTCTCTAGTGGCACCATTCTGGAAACCAGTCTTTAGATAAAGGGGAGACAGAGAGAGATCAGCTGTCAACTTCCAACACATTGCCCTGGGGCTATACCTTCACAGTTTATAATGAAATCAAATATGGGAGCATTTCACATGATCTGTAGACAGATATTGGATCCCTATAAAAGTGGGAAAGGGTCATGTTGATAAAATTCATACAAGACTAGGGTTCAGGGCTCCCACATCTGACATCTCACGCTGCCTGTTCTGAGCCAAGACCAACACCCCAGCGACATGCTCATTAATCCTTCCTATGAATGTTCCCACTACAAAGTCAAGCCCACTCTGGAACTTTCCCCTTCTGATGCCCACAAAGCTTGGTAGAGCAGAATGGTCAGTTCATCCTTGTTTATCTCGGAGAATGGAATTTACAGTTAAAACAAGGTTCCAGTGAGATAGCTCTGATGTAGATGTTTCACTTTCTAGAAGCTCAGTTAGTGAAAAGTCAGACTTTAATGTATTCCTATAGAGCAGTGATTTCAGTCCTGTAAGGTCCCCACAGTAATTCCATAATTGACAACAGTTTTGCCAAGACCAAGTCACTTCAGTTCGGCCTTAAAAAACCGATTGGAGCGTGCAGATGTCTCCTGACTTTTTTTTAATAAGGTCCATAAAAAGTCTCCCATGAAATCTCCCACACACTTCACTTTCAGACAGATTATAATGTTTGAGTTGGAAGACACCCTAGAGATCAGCCTTATCTCAGACCTGCCTCAGTCTGCATTGCCAGCCATCTGGGAACCTGATGGCCCTGAGCTGCTTTCTGAGGCAGCTGTGAATTTTGAAAGGTCTTTCCTGATGTGTGGAGGCACGTTCCTGAGCAGATCTCAAGCTCAGCAGTCCGACTTTTAGCTCGGAGGTCCTGTGAACAAGCCCACTCCCCTTAACATTGGGAAGATCACCCGCCATGTTTTCTGAAGACTATCGTCAATAGGAACCGCCTTCTCAATGCCTCAAGTCTTCTCCAGGCAAAGTAGTTCGACTTGCTTCCTATAGCTTCCAGATGCTTTCCCAACTGACCTCCTTGTTGCAAAGAAGACCTGCTCTCTCTCGGCAGAGAGGCTGTCACATCTGGGGTGAGGTGCCATGGATACCACTTAAAACCCCTTTCCCCGTGGTACTCTCCAGCCTTTCGCCGGTGCACAGCAGGCTCTTCAATGCTTCCCCAGCTCCCCCCACCCCCCACCCCCCGCCCCAGTCAGCATGCTCTTTGGCCCTCTTCCCTCAGCCCGAAATTCGCCCACAAGGGTCATGAACCTGTTAAACCAATTTCTGTGCCCTCAGACCTACCAAACAGGGCTGGGGTTAAAATGAGACTTCATTCCACTAAGTAAAGATGGATGGCTCTGAGGAACACAATAGCAACATCTGGCCTTTGAAAAGCTTGAGCAGTTGACTTCGAAGTTATTACGAACGTGGGTCCTTTCAGAAGTTTTATTACATGAGGGATGAAGTTGTAGATTACACATTCAATGTTTACTGACTATATTAAACATTAATGATGTTCAGTATCACACATTATCTTTGTTTTAACCACTAGCACTCTTTTATAAAGCAGTGTATTAAAGCATGAGCGTAAATGGTGCATGGGAAATAATTCTAATACAGTCCGTTGACTGAAGAATGTGTAAATTGCACATTAGTCCTCCTTCTCCTCGGCAGGATTGAGTATCGCATGAACTTGCTTAGCTCATAGCCACCGTAATGGACATTTGGAAAACAAATTAGTGACTTAAGAAAATAAATGTAGCAGAAGTGGGGATTTAACTGCTGAACAGTTAAGGGATCAGTGAGGAACTGAAAGTGAAATATTGTGATTTCCTAACTTAGACCGAATGTGGCCAGGCCAATAATTCCGATGTTGATGTTTATCCTGTTTGTAAAGACAGTGCTCTAGCTTTGTGCTCCTCGTCCCTGGGGACACTCCGCTGAGTGCACGGCTCAGGGAAGAGCTGCGGAGCTCACATTCCTCATAGGAAGGCGCAGGAGAGTGATTCTGCTTCAATTTTACACTGTCATTCCCTCCCACAAACACCAGCTTTCCTAGCTTGCAGCTGTCCAGCTGACCAGAGAAAGCGCTTCCTGCTCATGAAGACAGGGGGGTCGTCCTTCACCCACGTTTAACTTCTCGTGGTGTCCCCTTGGAATTCAAGTTCCCATTCCCTTTCACCCCAAGTCCCTGCCCATCAGGGTGGGCATCGAAACCTGATGTGCCTTTTCTAGTCTCTATGCTACTTGCCCCTGAAATCCAAAAAGTTCGACGAACTAATTTTGGTAACTTTGATGCCAAAAAGTACTAGAGGGAAATTCACTGATTCCACTGGGGCTATTATGGTATGGTCTAGTCAACATATTAGCTTTAAATTTTGTTTAAAGAGAATATGAGGTCACTCGCCCTCCAAAGGGCTTTGGATAAGGAACACCTGTCTACAAACACACATTTCCTACTACGTTTGTGAAGCTTTTATTTTGAACTGGCTAAAGAATAAGTGGATTTGGGGAGATAAAACATCTGTCCTTCCCACATCACCCCAGTACATTCAATTTTGAGGAAGAACTCCCTGGGGTTGTTTGGTTTCTTGCTCAGAAATTACCCTGTAAATAGAAACTCAATCCAGAGATATTCCAAAGTCAATCTAGTTTCTTTTTTAATTTGGTAACGTTAGGATCAGTGTCTTATGAAAAGTCAGAAATAAATACATATATGTGGAAGGAAAGTAGGAAGTGAGCTAGCTTTTCACTTGCAAATCATACATGTGAGTACAAATTAGACTCTCCATCCACCAGCAGGGAGTCTCGGCACTACAGACGCTCAGTGCTGAGGGGAGTGAGACCAGGTTAGCGCATCCCCTGGATTAGTCTCACTTAAGCACATTCCCTTGGGCTTTACTCGGTAACCAAAGACAAAAGCAATTTATTAGATTTAGAGGGTACTTTGCAAACAGATGGACTCTTTGCTGACATTAATGCCAGACCTGCAAAGGAATTCAGACACTCACACTCAGACATATGCAGGCACACACACGTTCTCTCTCTCTCTCTCTCCCTCTCCCTCTTCCTCTCCCTCTCTCTCCTCTCATATACAGACCGCGCACGCGCGCGCGCGCACACACACACACACACACACACACACACACACACTTTCCCAGGGGATATAGCTTCCCATTTCTTTGGCTTCCCCTAATCTTTTGGTGTATTTGGACGAGGAGTGTTCTGGTAGATAGCATTTACTTAGCAGCTAGCATTTGAAAATGAGCTTTTGCTGCATGAAAGAAAATACCTACCTAGGAGATTAAAGGGCAGCCTCTAGGGACACAAGAGAGCCACGGAAAGGCAGTCTGCCTTGGGTGGTGACTGGTGAGGAGCCTGTGTAGGCTGGACAAAATTCTGTCCTTCCATAATGCTGGGGAAGCGGCTTCTGTGGGGCAGGCAAGGAAGAATGGTGTCCGGTCTTGGGCTCAAGGGTCCTGGGGCCTTCTTTCTGCTTGTAAGGGAGACCACAGGGTGCCTACCCTTCCATGTGATGACTGGGCTATGCTGACGGAGCTGAAGGGGAGAGTGTGTTGAGGGGTGGATGGGGGGAGATCCAGGCAGATGTGGGTAGAAGTCAGCACAGAACTCGCACCACATACCCTCAGTGTGATTAAACTCAGCTCCAAAGAGGGGTTTGGCTGATGAGCTGAGGGGGAATGAGTGCCTCCCCCGAGCTTAGAGCTCCATTTCTGAGCAAGACTGAGTCCAAGACACATTGAGCAAAAGGACAGCGAGGCTAGGACATCCCCCAGCGTGCCTAGAGGCAGCTCAGGCTGATTTGTTATGGGCGCAGGGAGCAAATGACTAGTGAGGAAAATTATTGATTATCCATGAAAGCAGGTAGCAAATGGTGTCCATTTTCAAATGCCTAGCTTGGTCAGCTTCACACATTTAAAAATCAATCATTGCAGATGGTGGGTCCTTTATGACCATATGTCCTGGAAGGAGTGCCACGAAGATTTCCAAGTGTTCTGGTGGAAGAGGCCAAGAGCGCAGCCTCTCCTTCCCTTTCTCACACAACCCTCTCCGGTGCCAGGCGCTGTGCTGGGCTCTGGGACCTGGGCCTCTGAAGGAAATTCAGTGTTGCCCTTTCCTGCCATTTGAGGAAGCTGGGGCCAGGCCTCTCATCTCAGTTCTCTGGCTGACTGGAAGGCAGACTCAGGTGCCCCGCCCATACCTCTAGCCTCACTTTCCCCCAGTTAAAATGAGGTTAAACTCACCTTTCTGGCTGAGAGGATTATGTGGGTCATCGGTAAGACCAGAGCCCCTTGGCACAGGGTTTTTGAGTAAGCTGGCTATAGGAAATGCAAAATGTCCTAACTGAAATAAAACAGGGGTGGGGTGCACTAAGAATCTGGTTGTGTCACTGCATTCAGAGCACATGAGAGTCTAGAACCTAAAGTTCCCTCGAACACAGGGAAGAAGGGCTTTCTAGGATGGGGGGAAGTGGGGAGGGCGAAAGGGAGGGAGAGCAGAGTGTTGAGAACCAAGGAACTTTGCTGCACGCAGACCTCATTCTGACCCAACCTTTGAGCCCGTGAGCCACGCACAAGGCCTCTTGAGCCTCCCACTTCCCCTCGGTAAGGCGGAAGTGAGTGTCCACTCTGCCATCTCACACCTCATAGGTGCTTCTGCTGAAAAGTCCGCTGCTTTGAGACCGGAGGGGCCAATGAATGATGTGCTTTTTCTTTCAGCCCACTCCTGCCCACTGCTCAGCCCCCTTCTGCAGTGGCAGCCAGCGGGGGGTCCGGCAGCTCCAGTGATTCAGAGAGCAGCTCCGAGTCTGACTCAGACACTGAAAGCAGCACCACCGACAGCGAAGCCAACGAGGCGCCTCGCGTGGCCACGCCAGAGGTAGGTAAACGTCCAGGGCCCCAGGCACCATTTTGGAGGCAGCTCACAGCACTCAGCACAATTACTTCACACTGGAAACACTTCAGGGAAGTATTTTGGTATTGATGTTATTTTCCCGTCTGACACGTTCACAAAGTCCCAACCAGAGACACAGATGTTGCTGGGACTGGCTTGCTGTGTGAGTCCTTTAGCTACTCTGAGCCACAGCTTGCTCTGTGGAGATGGCAGTAGTGACCACGGGGCTCACACCTTACCCGTCTGGCCCTGGGGACACCACTGCACAGTCTGGGCCAAGCCATGACTTGGGATGTGTCAAGTAAGCATGGCAATTGGGGCCTCAAGTCTTCCGTTTCTGTTTAGAGCCTTGGTGTGTGTTTAATAATAATAATTCACGAAAACACCTAACATAGTCCAACATTATGAATGAAATGACGAGGGGGCGCCTCTCTCCTGCCTGCTACACATCCGGGAGGGCTGCTCAGAGGACCTGAACCCACGCTTTGTCCAGCAAACAGACCCTTTCGTGGAATTTTACACACTCGAGCTCCCTTTTTTATTTTACTTTATTCCAAACAATTTCTTTTGAATCAATTTCTTCAAAATCTGTATATTGAACTGACATCACATTATGACTTGTCAAAGTTTCAGAAGAGCATCGAGACCCAATATGTGTGTCTCTGCTGCATTAAACTCACCTCACTGCAAACTTGTTTTTCCATAATTGGAAAAGAAAAGTAGCAGGAGATCCTACCAGCGGTGGCAAACGCTTCTCCATGAGAGCTGTGTGCTGGGCACTGGGGAAGCTCCCAACTTGCGTTTTCTCGTGTCAGCATCGTGACATCTCTGCAGGTGCTGCCAATATTGTCCTCACTGCACAGATGAGAGAATCAGGTTCTTGGGGATTAAGAACCTACCCAGTATCTCCCAAGTAGCTAGGCCGGAGCCAGCACCGAGACTGGGTTCTGTGTGCTGCCAGAGCTAAGTTCCCTTCGATGGCAGCTGCTCGGGTGCTTTTAGCTCTGCCACCCTCCATCGGCTGCTGATGGCTTTGGAAAGAAGAGTGATGGCTCTTTAATTCAACAGGGAGAATTAGGGTGGGGAGCGAAGGATCACCGGGCACACATCGTCTCTTGCCTTGGCTTAGCCGCCAACATCCGTGTGCACGTCCCAAAAAGTGGCTTGTTGCCCGCTTACAGGCTGGGCAGTAGGTTTCAGAAAGCAGATCTCGTCATCCTCCCGTGACAGTCCAGAAGGCAGTTCTTCTGGCAGTGCATTACAGCATCACATAGGTAGCCCTGGCCCAGGGACCCTAGAAAGGCGCCCCTCTGAGCCCCACGGGGAAGACTGACGGAGCTGTCAGGGCCAGAGAGGTTACCTTTGCCTCCTGCTAAGAGGCTGAGTAAGGCGTGCCAGTGCAGGGATTTGGGAACAGGTTCCCCCTCCCAGGCTTGTGTGCAGGACACTTCCAGTAGTGGAGTGTAAATGAACACACCAGGGCCCCTGTGGCCATTTCAGCTCTCGAGCTCATTTGGCCAATGTGGATTCTGCTTGACCACATGGTCAAGCATGGTCACCTGACACTCAAAGGTTTTCTCAGTGAGAGTCAGTGGCCAGAATTCTGACTAAATGTGAAATTCACTCTTGCTGATGTTTCTCCATCTGCAGCCCGAGCCACCTTCAACCAACAAGTGGCAGTTAGACAAGTGGCTTAACAAGGTCACGTCCCACAACAAGTCATTTATTTGTGGCCAAAATGAAACGCCCATGGAGACCATGTCTGTGCCGCCTCCCATCATCCAGCCAATGGAAGTCCAGATCAAAGTGAAGACAAACCCCAGCCAGGTCCTGGCTGAACCCAAAGAAAGGCCTCTCCTCGGTCTCATTAGGGAGAAAGCGCGTCCTCGGCCCACCCAGAAAACTCCAGAAACAAAGGCGTTGAAGCATAAGTTGTCAACATCTATTGACACAGCTTCTCAGAGGACAGTTGGGAAAAAACAGCCCAAAAAGGTTGAGAAGAATGTCAACGCCGACGAGTTTACCTGGCCCAAACCAAATATCACCAGCAGCACTCCCAAAGAAAAGGAAGGTGTGGACCTTCCTGAGCTGCCGAGAGGCCGCAACAAAGCCACTGTCCACAAGCCAGTCCCGAGGAAGGAGCCCAGGCCAAGCATGCCCTTGGCTGCTGAGAAGAAGAAATACAGAGGGCCTGGCAAGCCCGTGCCCAAGTCCCGGGAATTCATCGAAACCGATTCATCGACGTCCGATTCTAACACCGATCAGGAAGAGCCGCTGCACACCAAAGGCTTGCCTCCTTGCGCCACCCCTGCAGGTAACACAGTCAAGCCCAAGGAGGCCTGTGGCGGCAGCCTGTCCCTCAGCACCTTAATGAGCAATGGCAGCAGCAACTTAGCCACCAGTAACGAGGAGCCTACTTTTTCACCCATCCCTGTCATGCAAACTGAGCTGCTGTCCCCTCTACGAGAGCAGGAGAATCTGAAAAATCTCTGGGTGAAGATTGACCTTGACTTGCTATCTAGAGTACCTGGCCACAACTCACTCCAAGCAGCCGCAGCCAAGCCAGACCACAAGAACAAGGAAACGGCCTCGAAACCCAAGCGCCTGATGCTGGCCGCAGCTGCAGAGAAGCCCGCCCCCAAGGGCAAGCGTAAGCACAAGGTAATCTCTCGGGGGTCTGCACAGGGATCCCCAGCAGGGCTGTCCGTGGGATGCCTTAGTCTTCAGTCTCATTCCCAGGAGGCTGGTGGCAGCAGGTTGCAGCCTGTGGTGAAAGCATGGTGTTTGCTTCCTGTGGGAAATACAGCATGCCCGACCAGGGAGGAAGTTTAGGCAGGATCACTTTGGCAGCCAGCGTCAAGAGCATCCAATGTGGCCCGTGGGGATGAGGATGTGTGGGAAGGAAAGCTTGAAGAGGCCCCTTCCCGAATAGCCAGTCCCAAGTTGCCACCTTAAGCTGCTCCCTAACTCACAGATGTGCGGGTCAAACACCTATTCCAGCTTCAGCGAGCACCCAGAGCTCCAGAGGGCAAAGCGCCTCATCGGGGCCTCATTCACTTCCCGGCACACCAGTACCCCCTCCACTCAGCTCTGCTTTGATTACCCAACTCCCTCCGGGCACGGGGTCTGTCCAGCCTGTTGGGACCTGATGTGTGGACGTTGGCTTGATGTATGAAAATCTCATCTGCTAGTGTTGGGGCTGAGTTGCAGGGCTGCAAACTATATAGTCAGAAGGTGACAGCCAGAAGGACCTCTTCTGTCGCAAATACATCGAGGGACACTAGCTTATGTCAGATCGCCTCCTGTGTACCTGCAGATGGCAGTTTTTTAAAGGCACATCGCCTCCTGGTGACATTTGGGTGATGTAATGTTGATGCTGCCAGAGTCACTGGAGAGAAGATCTAGAATCCCTTCCCCATCTCTTCTGTCCGTTTTGGTCAGAAATGGCTCAGAGCTTGGGGTGGAACCCTCCCTCCTGGCAGGTTGTCCTGGTGATTGGGATGGGGCCAGGATGAGTTAAGTCTTCCTTTGACATCAGGATTCAAGGGCAGTAGCTGTTATCTCCAAGCTGTGTAGCACCTTGTCCAAAGGGAATATTCCAGAATACACACCAAGGTCACCCAGTCCTGGCCCTCTCCCTGCTCTCGGTGCCAGTAGCACGACCAGGCTTTCGCCTATGAGCGACCATGCACGTTGCTGGCACACGTGACCTTTCTCCTGTCACCTTTATGTGTTTGCCGAGGAGTTATGCCTTGGTAGCTTGCAGTGGTAGCTTCTAGACTCATCATTGACTGGAGGCATCTCTGATGGGAGAAGTGGCTGAAGCTTATAGATTCTCTTTCCTTCCGCTATAAGATTCCTGCCCTCACCAGCGTTTCATCTGAGGTTCCCGTCACAGCTCATCTCTGCCAATCACCAGTTCCTAGGCAGTCGGGGCCAAACCTGGCTGAGTGCTCTTCTCTCTGGCCAGGGGTGCACACTGAACTCCTTCCCTAATCCAGGGGCTAAGGTGGAAGCCCACTGGCTACTGGGCTTGGCGTTTTTCCATGCCTTCACGTGACTTGTGTTTGCAACTCAGTGATCTTTTTCCTGTTAAAGCCCACAGATATGGCAGAGAAAATCCCGGAGAAGAAGCAGCGCCTAGAGGACGCCTCAGCTGTCTGCCTGCCCCCCCCTTGCATCTCCCCAGCCCCACCTCAGAAGCCTCCCAGCACTAAAGAGTGAGTTTGCCCCGTCTCTGTGTGGTGCTTCCATTTTGTAGACTCTGATGATATCCCCATGAAGCCTTGGGTGGGGGGGGTAGATAAAAACTCGAGGCTCCAAGACCTGTCCTACTGCTGGTCTAAAGGGGTGGGGTACAAAATGGAATACAGGCTGCCAGATCTGGAGAGACTCTGAGCTATTAAGCAACATTTCTTCACCCCAATTCAGTTGGCGACTGAAATGAGGCAAAGTGGAGTTTTAGTGTGAAGTGAAGGTCCCAGTTGGTGAACCACTTAGGAAGGGGCCGCCTCAAGGGACACTTGTCATTTTCTGTCACGCAAAGGATCCAGACGCTTACTCCGAATCTTTATATGCATGGTGCCCAGTCCTGTCCATACAACCCATGCGCCTTCCTCAGATCTCTCAAGTAGACCGGTCAGACTGACACGAGGGCTATTTCGAGTGGAATAAAGGGTCTTTAATGTTAAAGAGAAAGAGCAGGCCATATCAGCTGAGCCAGGGCATCTGCTGCTGGACACATTCCACTGCTGAAGGTGAGTAAACAATTTCCCTGGAAAAGCAACCTCTTGAGCATGAAGGGTGGCCCAGCTCCGCATGCTCCCGGGTGTCATTACGGGACCTTGGTACGTGGGGCTTGACGGGGCAGTCCTGTGTACCGAGCGAGACTCATTCGTGCCAGCCAACTGGCACCTCTTCCCTGCTCTCCCTCTTTACTGAAGGCGCCGTAGACAGGCGGCCCCCCAGCCCCGCCTCACTGCAGAAGTCCTGTCCGCTGTTTCTCTCAAGCATCGTGACCGAATTCTTCCATCTTATAAATATCACTTAACTAACAGTCATGTCAGCTACTGGGACCATTCCGTCTGGATAATTATTGCCATAAATTCATTCAACATTAGACATTACTTCCTTCAAAGACCAGTTTTGGAGCCTATTAGCAGCCCAGAGCAGAGAGGCAATCTGGCTAACTGCTGCTGACAATTGATTTCCCAGACTCCTGCTTAACGTCAGTGGTATGGCATCAGTCTGCCCCCGAAAAGATGACGGAAATAAGATACCAGCCACATTTGTTTGCATCCTTGTTTTGAGATGAAAAGAAGGAAGGCCCAGCTACCACCAGATCTGCTCAATGGAATCGAAGATTTGGCCCCTTCCCCATGGATCAGAGACAGAGAGCTCTGTGATAGGAGTTTGCGCTGAAGCATCCTGTCTCATCCTTGAAGTTTTCAGAGCTAGGGGACAGGGTGACCCCCCTTAGCCCCAGGTGAAGCAGGAATATGGGGAAGCGAGCTTCCTCGCCAGTGGCTGAACAGGGGCATGCCGGGCTCCTTTCCGGGAGGAGGTGCTGAATTGGCAGCTCTGCAGCGGCAGTTCTCAGCCCCGGTTCCCAGGCATGGACAGCACAGGCCACCTAAGGGCAGATGGAGAGGCAGGCGGCATGGGGATCGCCAGTCTCCAGCCCCTATGGCTGGTCTCCCTGGCCTCTCAGAAGAGAGATGACCAAGTGTTAAGTGAACGTCTTGCATGTCAGTATATTCTCATAAAATAGTATCTTTAATCCATGGGCTTTATAGTATTTCAATGTTTTTAGTGTTTACCTACTGGCATTTTTCATCCAGGAAGGACCTTAAGCTCACCCAACAAACCCAGGTCTCTGGAAAAATCTCTGGAGTTGAGGAAAAATTAATCCAGACTGGCTGTCAGTGGTTTTCCTCTGGGAAACCTCTCCTCAGGCTTTGTCTGCTCCTTCATGTCCAGCGGGCCCTTCAAGCCAATTCCTTGGGCATTTCTGTGAGACCATATTCACTTTTCTAACTGGGTTTCCTCAGCCTAGCAAAGACCGCCACACAGACTATGTGAATTGGAGTCCCCTGTCATTCAGGGGGCCCGCTGGGCTCCCTGCTCCTACTTTGGGACGTGAAGCATCTCTGAGTCCTCTGATTCGTTGTGTGGAGGGTGATGCTCTTTTCTTGTCCACTGGCCCACTGCAAGTGGTGCCCAAGATACCCAAACCGCTTCCTGCAGTGGGAAGCCATAATGGTGACAGAGCAGCCCCTACTCAGCGTTCCTTCAGCGTCTTTCAGCCAGGAAATCATTGGAGATGTCAGGTTTGAGGGCACTACAAAGCCGCTGGAAACGGAGCCAGGTGACAGGCGCCGCAGGAGCATGGCATCCGCTAAGCACAATGGTGGATGGGAAGGGCCAGTGGCAATCAACTACCTCTGGGAGATAGCACTTCCCTCCCCATGCACCGCCGTCCTGGGAAGCCCAAGTGGTAGCGGCAAGGTAGGGCCTGAGGAGCCAGTTCCCTCCATGGAGCCCAAGCGGTGCTTGGCAAAGCTTTACCAGCCCAAGGCCTGATGCCTGAGGGGCTACACTTGGCGCAGGCTGGTGCTTGCCGGGCTTGCTCGTGGACAGGAACCTTAGTCCACATGTCCATCATTTAATCAGGTGTCACAGCTGTCTAAAATGGTTCTGTAGATCAGGGCACTATTGAAAGGCCAGTGGCAAGTGTTTTTAAATTAATTTTAACCAATTAAGGTAATGGCAGAAGCAATGAAGTTGTTTCTTCTAATTTGGCTGTGTGGCAAAAATTGGCACGGTGCCGCATTTATAAAACAAAAGATGGAAAGGACAAACATTATTACAACTGGCACAGGTGTGCAGCACAGCAGGCGTGGGCCAGGAGACTGCATCGACTCCTCCCATTTCAGAAAATCAAACCACTTGAATGCTTGTTCATCTTTGATTTGTTGCTTTGAGATATTGTAAATCTATTTTGCTAGAGACTGACTGAAATGGACCAAGAGGAAAACATAAATTCTTGTTGGCTTAATTTGCTATTGAAAATTGTAGTCAATAATCATGAAAAGTAAATGGCTGCACAGTGCAATATTAGTTGTCTAAGAAAAGATTAAAATTCAAGTAATCTTCATTGATTAGTCTAAGACAGTAACTAAAATGAAAATCCATGACTCAATTACCATGTTAAGCAGCTAGCAGAAGGTTTCAGTTGTTCTGTTTTATCTGACGTCTCAGACTGCTTGAGAGTACCCATGTAATGGGCCGATAAATCAGTCTGAAAGCACAGGAGTCCTGTTAGCTCCGCAGCCGTCTTAGGGCTATGACGAAAGGATATTTTTCAAATGCAGTTTTGTAGAGTGGAGAAGGTCGGTACTTCAGTATAACATTTAGGGCCAGCAGCTCATTGTGCCTGGTGTCGGGGTACATTTTGGACATACAGTTTCCAGTGTGGTGCAGAGTACTTAGTGCATTATTAAGTTCTAGGTGATGTTCAAACCTAGTATTTCTTAGGAAAATATCCTTCCACTAATTGCTTATTATACTATTTACTGTGCACTGAAGTCGTAGGCCAGACTAAGTGGGGAAAGTCCTAAAAGGATGATGGGATGAATGCTGGCATTGGTTGGTCCATAAAATCAAATTAAAAGTAATCATAGAAGGTTGCAACTGTCACGCAATAGCATATTCCATCAGACGTTTGCATTGATCAGAGAGTCCTGCTTCAGAGGTGTTTTTGTTCCTAGATTCACACTTGCCTTAGTCCCTGGCTATGTTTACAGTGAGGGCAACACACCCCCTTGACCACGGTGTCTGTCGTGTGGGAGGCGACACACTACAAATGTGTCTATGTCTTTGTGCACCTTTATATGTAACGGATCATTGCCCAGAATATGACTATAGCTGAAGGTGCCAGTGTCACAGGGAAAACCAGAATCAAGATGGAACTTTGACACCTTGTGCTTTTTGTTTACACAGAAACAGTTCCTCCAAGAGAGCAAACAGAAGAAAAGAAGAAAAACTGTTCCCCCCTCCACTTTCCCCACTGCCAGACGACCCTCCACGCCGCAGAAATGTCAGTGGGAATAATGTCCCCTTCACTGCAGACAAGAACAGCCCTGTGATTGGACACATCATCTCTACCAAGCCTAAACGGAGTGAAGGGAAATCCTGCGCTACTTTCAAAGGGATCTCCGTGAGTGTAAGCCTTTTGGAAGAAAGACCACAATTATCATGGAGAAACAAGTTAACCCAACTTGTGTAACTAAATTTGACCACATGGGATGTGGCCAGGGAAAGGGAGGAAGAGACAGAAAATGTGAGCGTGTGTGGGTGTGCGTGCACACCCGGCCACACACACACCCTCTACTGTTTACAAGCTTGATTTTTCCAATTCAGGATGGATTTCCCACCCCAGTGTTGCTTCCGCACACAGGTTAATATGCAGAAACCCAGGGCCTTCGACACCCCTTGGTTCAGGCCCTGCCTGTCTTGGAAGGGGCAAACGGCCCCATAACACCCTCAAACCACTGTACCTGGAATGCAGGAAGCAACGGCTGTTTAGCAAATGACAGAATATATGGATGGGATGCGGCTGTCCCAGGTCGTTGAATCAGGGCTGGAAGTCCCAAGTTCCATGTCTCCACACCCAACTTGGGCACTAGGAACTGTTTTGAAAAGACAGGGATTAAAAAGGATGGGCTTTTATAGGTGAACCACACAGATGTATTTCCAAGTCCACTCAAAGGATTACCTAGTCCTTTGGATTTTCTTTTGTGTCCATTATGTACTACTTATTTATTTATATGCATAAGAGAACAGGGGTACAGGCAGAGGTGTGAGGGGGTGAGAGACAGAGACAGAGTGGGGAGCAGAAAAGGTGGATGCACTGAAATCTGCTGCTGAGGGGAGCGGGGAGAGAGGTGAGGCCTGCTGTGCCGTATAGGTCACTCCTTGGCCGGGGATCAAACTCAGGCTGTGAGGGTGTAAGAGTTGAGACTCTACCCCTGTGCCACCAGTAAGGTCCCCTTTAGATTTTCTACACTGCTTAAATAATTGTAGATTTGTATCACTTGCCACACCGCTAACGTCTTTTCAGCTGTCTCATGTAGAGGTCTGTGAGTGGTGGGAACCACAAGCAGTGGTCACTCGTGGATATTAGTGACAGTTGAGCCCCCCCCCCCCGTGTGCAGAGGTCCTCCTTTAGTGTAATGGGAAAAGCAAATGAGTGAAAAGAAATGAGATCGGGAAGGTCCAGTATCAACCTGGTGCCCCAGAATCATAAGTGTCCATTGACTACTCCTTGGAAAGCCAAGAGGTCTCTGAGCTTCATGGACCCCAATTTGTAATCGTCTATCATCTTACATGACTGAGATGGCATATGTGGGTAAGTGTCATCTCTATAGCTGCCATCAAGTCGTCATTTTCCATCTGAAGGCTGTGTATATGGGGGTGTGTGTACACACACACAATAGGCTTAGGGCCCCATTTAAAGAAGGTGACTGGGATGCTGGGGACGAAACCATGACAGTAATTATATTATGAGCCTTATTTTTATGTCAGAGATAGTTACTATCATGGAGACCAACTGATGCTGCCTTTCATTGCAAACTTTTGGGGGCACTTCTTGCAAAGCGCCTAGTATATTGAACAAATAATGAGATGCTTAACATGGATGTGATCACAGCAGCGATGATGATTACAAGACTCTGAAAAGTCATTTCCACAGTGCTAAAAACTACTAGGGAACTTGCTACCTGGGATTCCATTGGCTCTAGGCATGGGCCATCTTCTGGAGAAAGCTCCGGGGCCCCTGTGATAGAGTTTGCTCACCCATCCCCTCTTTTTTGGCCATTCCTTCTTTCTTGTAATGGCTTGCAACCCGGGGATGTTTGCAAGATATTTTCGCCCTAACCTAGAAATGAAGATCCTTAATACCTAGTCCTGCAGCACATCTTCTCTGTGACCTCAGGCAAGACATGAGGTCTCTGCAAGTCCATCAAATGGGTGGATTTGAGTAGATGATCTATAAAGGCTCTTTTCACCTCCAAAAGTGTTCTCGGTTTTCTGCTCTCCACGTCTTCTCCATGCTGGGTGCGCGTGCTGTTGTTGGCTGATGTACGGCACGGTGGGGAAGGGTGAGTGTGTATGGGGACATGCTTGTGGTGTTTTTCAGTGACCATGGCTGAGTGCAGTGCTTTCCAGTCAGCTGTGCCAGATGCGACATCAGTCTGTGTGCATGCAGGATGGGGCGCTCTGGCCATAGACAGAAGTGATGTTCTGCTGTGTGACTCCAGTGCTTGGCCTGAGCCGTCTTTCTCTGGCAGTGCAGACATGGACCTGGCTTGGCAGTTTCAGAAGACTGGGTTTTTTGGTGTTTGAGTTGAGTATGATCCGTGATGGTCTTCAAACTAGTGTTTCCAAATTCATCATAATGATCTTTAGACTTGTCGCTCAGCTCCTGTGTCTCAGTGAGATCTTGGTCTCAGCAATTGTTTCCTCATCAAAAGGTTCAGGATCAAGCGGAAAACATCATCTTTCAGGCATGTTAGACATGTTCACGTTGGCCTTTGATCCTGAGAGTGGCTCTTGTCCCCCAGACAGGGGGCACGTGCAGGTTGGGCAGACACCAGGCACTGGGCATGGGTGGGTATGGCACAGGCACCACAGCAGCCCCTACATCACCGATGCCCAGTGCTTAGAACCCTCCTGGCCAGGGGAGCCATGAGGCACATGCTCATGACCAGACACCTGCCAGGCTGATGCTCGCTGCAACGGGCATGGGTTGAAACAGAGCCCTTGCGTCCACAAAGGGATGAAGGGGGTGAAGCAGTTCTGGCCAGAGACATGAGGCAGTTTTCCTGGACCCGTCACATGCTGATCCGAGCTTTAACAGATGAAAGGTTTAGAAATGAAAGGAGGTGGTTTGGCAGAAAGTGCTTCATCCATCCAAGAAATATTATTCTGTCCTAAAAAATGGAGGAAATGCTGACACACACGCTACCGCAGGGATGAGCCGGGAGGACATTAGTATGCTCAGTGGAATAAGCCAGATGGAAAAAAAGCTAATTGTATGACAACAATTCTGGGTGGGGCGGGGGTACCTGGAGTGGACCGATACGTAGAGACACAAAGTAGAATGTCGGGTGGGAGATGCAAGGAGCAGAGCTATTTTGGGGGACAGGGTCTCAGTTTTTCCAGGTGAGGCAGTGTGTGGGCGATGGTGGAGGTGGCAGTGCTCGGACCCCAAACTCACCCTGCACAGTGGTTTAGACAGTACATTTCATGTTCCTGTGTTCTGCCACAGTTTTTAACATTGTAACATCTTTACAAGGTGAAAATAAAGCAGTGAAGGGAAACCTCTTTCAACTTGAACCCCTCAGTCAAGCCTAGCAGGAGAGCGAAGGAAGCGTGTTCATTCCGTTTGGTGGAAGGTGCATGGGAGAGTGAGCAGAGTCGAGGTGGGAAGCTGAGGCCTCACAGGGCAGGGGGGACAGGGCGCCTTGCCTGCCAGGAGCGTGGGGTTGAGTGCCCATTTGGGTGCAGGGCAGTGAAATGCTTGGATCTTTTGGAGTTGCCCTTTTGGTCACAAGAGGTGCCGGCCTGGCCTGCAGTGATGGGACACCCAGCACCTCCTCATCTGGGCGTCTGAGGCAGCGAAAGCTCCTTGTGACCAGGTCAAGGATCCCACGGGTCAGTTTCTGCATTTCCCTCTGGACTCTCACTGCCATAGAATGACGGGTGTCGATGAAGAAGGTAGGTGGGCGGACGTGACTAGGCAACATGTGACATGTGCGTCTGCGTGGTGGGCTCACACAGCACCTTCCCCGCCTGGCACTCTCTGCTTAGGCAGAGATTGAGGGCATGTTGGAAAAGTGTGAGAGTCTCTGCTGGAAGCCAGGAGGGCCTGTTCTTTGAGATTCTGGTGGAGAAACGGACAAACATGTGAGATGTGGGGGTCATCCAAGGAATAGGACTCTATCATTCAGCGGATGAGATGATGGGGAAGTTCGACAAAGTGCAGATGAAATAGAGCAGTGGTGTTCCAAACATTTCAGGAGCATCAGTATACAAAGCTGATGGAAACAGCAGCCGGGCTGCCAGGCCCCTCACCCAGCGATGCTCACTGCACCCTTAGTGTCCTGGAGAAATCCAGCCTTGGTGCCAGGGCAGATCACCCTGCCAATAACAGAATCCGGGAATTGGTTTTAGGGAAATTTGTGGTGCTAGTGGGCCATCTTGGTGGAACAATCGAGATTGCAGGTCTGGAGCTTCGGAGAGAGGCAAACAGTGGTTTCTATTTGGGGGTTCCCTGCTCATTGTGGAGCATGCACACACTGGATGGCCCAGTCATGCCAAGCGCAAGACAGAAGAGAGCTGCAGAATGAACCATGGAGGTTGGCCATGTGTCCCCTGCAAGGTGACACCAGAAGGAGGGAGAGGCACCTCACAAGTCGGCTCAGATGTAGAACAGTCTAGATGATTCCTCGAGTGCCAGGCAGGGAAGGTGCTGTGTGAGCCCACCACGCAGACGCACATGTCACATGTCGTCTAGTCACGTCCGCCCGCCTACCTTCTTCATCGGCACCCGTCATTCTATGGCAGTGAGAGTCCAGAGGGAAATGCAGAAACCGACCCGTGGGATCATTGACCTGGTCACAAGGAGCTTTCGCTGCCTCAGACGCCCAGATGAGGTGCCGGGTGTTCCAGCGCTGCAGGCCAGGCTGGCACCTCTCATGACCAAAAGGGCAACTTCAGCCTCGCTCTGGGCGACTGACTGGTGCATGCGATGCTTTGCTGCTATTTTGCTGCTGAATCTGGTTCTTGGCACGGGGATCAGGGTCCTCTCCTTACCCTGGTGCAACTGTGCAGGCTGGCCCCTGCTTCCCTTGACAAAACACACATCAGAGCTCTCTCCCCATGCCCACCGCTCACACCCCTGCTGGAGTCAGACTTCGCCAGTGGCTCCAAGGCTATCTCCATGGAGGCATGCCAGTCACAGCGCCCAATTCTCTTGGAGTCCAGGCTCATCTCAGAGCAAAAGCGAGTGTTTCATGGACTCATCAGGTGGAGCAGGGTGGCCTTCTGGCCTCCAGCCCTGTGCCGCGGTCCCTGTCCTCATGCCATGTTTCCTGGTGTTCTGGGGAACAGTATTTATGAAAAGATGTTGGAGAGAGCTGCACCTCATGGCAGTCATTTGTCCCCCTTTTTCCCAGGAGGGAGACACTCCAAAAAAGGCAGCCTCTGCCGCCATCACTGTCACCAGCACTGCTACTGCCATTGTTACTGCCACTGCCACCGCCACCGCCACCGCCACCACCACCGCCACCACCACCACCATTTCCACCACCACTTCCACCATCACCAGCGGCCTCATGGACAGCAGCCACCTGGAGATGACGTCCTGGGCAGCCCTACCCTTGCTGTCCAGCAGCACCGCCAGCGTCCGGAGACCCAAGCTCACTTTCGATGATTCGTATGTTGTCCCCAGATTCTCATGGCCCCAGCTGGGTGTGGTGCATGCAGAGCGGGGCAGTGCGAGCTAGCACCATGCCTGTGTCACCCCCAAAGGGACCTCCCGGCAGCTCTTGCTAACCTCCAAGTACCTCGCTCCACCCCCCACACCTCGAGCCTAGCTCCGCATGTCTTTGGCCCAGCTTAATCCCGGAGCGCTGCGACCATTCCCAGGGCAGGTGCTTCATGCAGCTTGCGTGGCCCTGCTGCTCATCTGAGGACAGAACCGAGAGCCAACAAGATAGGCTGGCGACAAAGTTGCTTTTGATCTGTTCCGACAGCTGTCTGGGCTGCAGTTGGGAATGTGTGGGGTCGGTTTGTTTCTTGCCAATCAGTCATCCATTATGAACTTCAGATTTCACCCCAGGATTATTATTTCAGAGTTAGTTATTCTGTGAATAGTAGCATCATCTGCCTTCCCAAGGCATGGTAACAGGATGGGATGTGCAGCCATTTTTTTTACTTCTCGGTCTTTTAATGAAAAGATGTGTCGATTTCTGAAAGAGCTCCCTTTGTGTGTTTAGGGTTCACAACGCTGATTATTACATGCAAGAGGCTAAGAAGCTGAAGCACAAGGCCGATGCACTGGTAAGTGTCCTAGCCATCCTGCCCCCCACCAGGGTTTTATGCTTGAAGGAGCCAGACTTTCTCATGGCTGCTCTGACATCAGGCTGCCGGGGCAATTTCATTTCTTCGCACTGAAATTCCCTACGTGCCTTGCACCCCATTGCCCTGCCACAGTTTGTCCCTCCACCCCCAGCCCAGCTCGTCTCTGCTCAGATGCTAAATGGCACAGACTCGTAGTGTCTTGCAAGTGAATTTGAAATGACTTTTGAAACTGCCCTGGAGAAAATGGGAGCTGTTGTTGGGCCCAGTAAACCAGAATGGGTGTGGCCAGGGAGAAGGAAGTTGAGAGCTACCTGCGGGAAACTCAAGTTTAGGAAAAAGTCAGCCCCTTGCTGTATTTGATCGCGTTTTCAGAGCAAGGCCCCAGCCAGGCTCAGAGCCCACACAGGGTGCGGTTCTGGCCTCCAAGGCCTTTGGACACTGAGACTATTGTTTGTTTGATTGATCGTCCTACTAGGGATCTCAGTGACATGTTACCATCATTCAGGGGGATTGTGAATTAGCCCTCATGCCCGGGCCACACCCCAGTCAAACTGAATCTGAATTGCCAATGCTGGGGTCCAGGCATGGGCATTAGACGTTCCCCAGGCGATTCCCAAGTAGAGTCAAAATGAAGAACGCTGCTATAGTCAATGCCTTCCATTCAGATTCCACGCCTTCTACTGTACCCTAGCACAAACAGAGGTGTGAGCTCAACCCCACTGTGTAACAAAAAGACAGCAACCTCCACCTCTGCCCTGAGTTCAGCCAGGCCTCGGTGGCCCTGAGGAACCCGGCTGTAGCACAGCTGAAACAGGGTGCCACCGTGGGCTCTGCCCATGGCCAGCATTGGTGGGCCAGGGCCCCCGTCTGCCTCCTCCCTATTTTCTATCATTCTACATGGTGGTCCAAATGGCTCAGCTGTTGTGTATGAGGCGAACTTCCCTTAGGGAGATAATGGTGTCCTGATCCCACAGGTGATGATGAGGCAGGCTGGGTGACAGCCCTGCTCAAGGTGCAGGCAAGCTGTGCCTGAGACCATCTCTTGGGCAGTGAGAGACCAGGAACACTCTGTGTGGTGATGCCGCTGGCTCCAAGAACCAAAGATTTTCTCTAAACGTCCCCAACGACCCTTTCAAGTGAGGGCCAAGAGCACACTGCTGGTTCCCTCACCAGCTGGTGACAGGGAGGCTGGCAGAGAAAAGTGCAGGAAGACGTCAAGGGCACTACTTTCACACAGCTGTGGGTCTCTCTACCCTTTGGTGGAGCAGCCTCGAAGCCTCCGCCTTGACTGTTTCCTCATCACTGGTCCCTGCAGAGACCTAGCCTGCGCTGACAGAAAGCCATGTTTTCTAAGCCTGGGGGACCCTAAACCTACAACCTCCCAGAGCACCAGAAGCCCAGCCCCAGGCCAGGAGTCACAAAGGGACACCGTTTTCATGGAAAACAAGGGCTATAGCTTGAGTGTGGACAATAATTGCTTCATTGTCATTGTCAAAAATGGCCTGAAATTGTGTGTCAAAAAGCCAGAAAATACAGCTCTGCCAAATATTTTAGTTTATTAAAATTTTATTGCAAAAGGTTTTACCCTTGATAATGGACACGATGAATGTGACTTAGACATGCTGATTTCTTCTTTATGCATAATGAATATTATATACAGCACTTTTATAGTGAGCATTTTATAATGGCATTTAACATTTTCAATTTTGATAGCTGGATGTTAGAATTCCACTAATATGGATTGAACGATTTAAATGTTCTTGTATACCTTTTGATCAAAATATTTTCTATGCAACTATGAAGGTTTCAATTCTCAAAATGGTAGAGTAGCTGTCTAACAAAGGATTAAGTACAACTATAAAACGATGAGTTACAGGTCCCGAAGAATCTCCTATATATAAATGACGACAGTAAATGTGCTGCAGTTTTTAGTTACCACAGAAATTCTGCGCTTTCGGCTCCCTGAGCCATTGTTGGGCAGAGACGTAACAGTTTCAGTGCAATTCAGAGGGATTTTACGAAAACCCGTATGTCTGTCTACCCCATTTCCTTCTCTTCTTGCCTGCAAGATCATTTCCTTTCCTCACCCTGTTCTGACTGTCTCTCCCCAAAGGAGAAAGTAAAGTCCAGATAGAAAAATGGCATGAGCAGTGTCAACTAATGTCCAACCTGTTTCCCCTTCCGACGCCTCAGTTCCCACATTCATCACAGGAGGGATGTGAACACCCAGCTCTGGGGTGGGCTCTGCAAAGATGGCTTCCTTGGAATCAGTGTTTCTCAGTAGTTTTCTTTTATCTCCACTCAATGAGGGAGCCTCTTTAAATATGTTTCACACACCCCCAAGGCGATAACAGACTGTACTGCGTAGCTCTTTGTGTAACGAGCCCGTTGGATGGACGCACACTAATTAGCGAAGACGTTAGCGATACCATCTCCAGCAGGGGTCTCAGCTTTGGCGCCCTTGATATCTTGAGCCTGTGTGTTGGGGAGGGTGTAGTGGCGTCTCTGGCTGCTGCTGTCCCGATGGCCCTGTCCCTGGTAGGTCTGCAGCCCCCACCGGGTCTTCCCAGGGAGGGCAGAAAGATGGCCCTGGCTGGTGAAGCGTTCGTTGGTGAGCAGGACTGAGAAGAGAGGGTATCACGCTGACAAGTCCTCTTCCCGTTTCAGTTCGAGAAATTTGGCAAAGCTGTGAATTACGCCGACGCGGCCCTGTCCTTCACCGAGTGCGGCAACGCCATGGAGCGCGACCCCCTGGAAGCCAAGTCCCCGTACACCATGTACTCGGAGACCGTGGAGCTGCTCAGGTTACTGCTTTCCGCAGCCATCTTGCTAAGCTCATTGCAGTCCTGACTCTTTCGAAGCCACTGTGTTTTTTAAAAATATCATTTCCACGTAGTAATGATTTGTCCAAGGCATCATCTTCTTAGAAGTCATCATAATTAGTTCTTGCCATTTTATTAATGTCACGGAAAATTTATAATTGATGGGCACTGCTTTTATAAATTATCCCCTTCAGAGGTTATAATGTGAGTGTTCTAATTTGCAATATTCATAAAATTAAAATGAAAACGTAGTGGGTGGAAGGAAAGTATAATAATTTCACCGTTTGGCATTGACACTCGTCTCTTAAAAGTACAGTTTTATAATTCAAAAAAAGTGGTGCCATTGGGATTTCTGTTTTCTAAGAATTTCTGCCTCCGTTATTAAAAAGGGAGGAGATGCTTTCTGTGCATCTGGAACCTAAGGGAAGCAGACAAGGTGGTAGCAGGGGCGGGGTAGCGCCCAGAGCGGGAGAATAGGGATATATTAATTGCACAGATTATTGGTTTCATTTGCATTTTAAATGAAATTTTCTGGCCTGTTGGTCTTGGTGGAGTAGAATTTGTAGGTAATCAGAAAAAAAAAAAAACTTACTGGAAGAAGGGGGCAGAGAAGAAATAATATGCATTGTGGTACTTTCCAGTAACCTGAGATATTTTTCAAATACCTTAATCCGCGTGTGAATAGTGGAGCGGCAGCGTGGTGCACCGCCAGTGGACTGCTAATTGCTTCTGATTGAGCAAGGCTTCTTCCCTGCCACGGCCTCATTCCCAGTCACCTCTGGCTGGATTCATCCATAATGCCAGGGCTGGCTTTGACTGTGTCGCTTGTATCTGCATAAACTGTTACAGGTCTGAGGGCACCTCAAAATTGGACACGTTTAGCTTACAGAAGGGGAAATTGATTTCTCAGTACCTATTCCAGGTGGCCTGTGATTTTTCTGGCAAAATGATAAGGATTCAAAGTCAAGAGGCGAAACACTAATGAACAAGCAGGGAGAAAAGACATACCCCAAATGTAAATTAAAACAAGACCCTTTTTAAATTAACAAGGAGATACAAACATGTCCGCGCCTAGTTGTAGCTGGCCTGGAAATAATGGTGAGCTGGGTGTCTCCTGTGCTTGGGGTAGTGTGGCAACTGACCTGGAGTCAGAAAAGCTGTATAAAGTAAGCTTCTGAGCCAGTGGTACAGCTTCCGGAAATTGGAATCTCTCCTACGAAAGGATATAATTGTAACAAAAGAAAGAACAGGTTATCTGTGCTGTGCTATAGCACACGGTAGACACAAACCAAATAACCACTAATAGCAGGGTAATGAATTACCTTGTAGAACACTGACGATGTGATGATAAAGTCAAAACCATTTGAGGAATTACAGACATGCTCTGTGTTTGACCATGGAAGGCATGTTTCTGCATATGGACCAAACTGGAAAGGAAATGAGATCATAGCTGTAACAGATGAGCTAACTCATCTCTCCATTTGTCTTATTTCCTTTTAGGAAGACCCATGCTGTCCTAAAAATACAAAGCAAGACAGCTTTTTTTCCTTTTCATTTTTTGGTATAAATGCAGAATTTGGTACAAACTCTTGAGTAAGCATATATTCACACTAGAAAACACACTTTCCCCTTAACTGTCTACCAAAACAAAGCCCTTTTTTCCTAAGCATAATCCATGGTATTTCTCGTGGTGTGGTAGTTTGCTCCCCATGGACAGCTGTCTCAGTGGAACCTGGTGAAAGGTAATGGACAGCTTCTAGACACTCACTCTAACTAAAGTCACCACTGCTTCATTTGGGCGTTCACTGTAGCCCCGCCCCCACGCCAGCATCACGGCCTGGACACGTGTAGGGCACTGGTTCTGCTTTCAGCAAGTGGTGTTTGAGTTTCAGTATATTCCTTTGTCCTCTCCTCTACCCTTCGCTGTCCATATGTGCATGTGTATACGTGTGTGTGATTGTGTGTATACATATTCTGCATATGCATAAAATATGCATTTCTATATGTAATGCACATTACATATATAGTCTCTCTATGGATGTGTACAAGTGGATGTGTGGATGGTCTGGGAGAGGAATTTCATTTGGGGAAAAAATGAGCTGAAGCACCTGGGCCTACTGGTCTATTTAAGCATGTGAAACTCTGCTCTCCAGTCACTGCAAACACAGTTGCAATTAGAGGGGACTGTAATCTGAACACAGTTTTTAGTAGTGTAATATTATGTTGAAGAGATTTTTATTACTCTCTCCCTGACAGTATGCTGGCTACAGGGAGCAAACCCCATTTTCTGCATTCAAGTAATTATAGTTGCTCTGAGCCTTGGGACTCCGCAATAGAAATGTAGTTGTGAAGACAAGTGAGGCATCACCGTGACTTGACATTTGCGTGATCTGGCTGTCAGAGACACTTAGATTGATTACATAATAAAAATCCTTTTGCTTAATATTGCACAACAGGAGGGGCCCGCATTGAGTGTGCAGGCCCCTTGCTTGGAAATGGTCGCTCAACAGAACAGCCATACCCAGGAGAGCAGGGCAGGGAGAGCAGACAGCCTCTGGGGGTCGCCCCGGCACTGCGCTGTTCTGGAGAGGGTGCCAAACATGAGGCATTGGCGGTGTAAGCATGGGGTCCCTGCAGGCACGCCATCCTGCTCAGGCTGCTACTCACCTCGCTTTCTCCGGAGCACTAACCGTGTTCCTTGTTCTGCCACGAGCGCCTGCGAAACTGCACGAAAGCTCACACGATGATTCCATGCAATGGGTTCCTTTTTTGAGAGTCGAAATGCCCGCAACGGGATGTGCTCAACTTGAAGGGGAAAAGGGAGCTGCTCAACCTTTGCGCCCCACTTTTATAGGCATATGTCGTGACACAGGGCTAGTAGAAAAGAGCTCTTCGGCAGTGAGACCGAGCTCACGCCATGCTATCGGGCAGAGCGGTGCACTCGCCACCTCCCGTGTCACAAACTTGCTGCCATTGCCATTGTGTCCACCTCTCACTGGAAACCATTAATGTGGCTTGGCGCCCTGCTCCAGGAAACAGCATTTTTATGAACCCCAAACCCCAGCCTGGAGCACGGGCCCCGCATTTCCTACCTTCACCCCACTGGCTGCTGTCCGTCGGCCTTGGGTGGATGTTTCCAGACAGGCAGGCTTTTGGGCCCGGCCACCCAGACCCCAGGTGGGACAGACACCTTTGGGCACCAAGGACCTTGGGAACTTCTGAGCCACAATACAGACTCCACTCAAGCTTGTCCTTTCTCCTCAAAGGTATGCGATGAGGCTGAAGAACTTCGCCAGCCCCTTGGCCTCAGACGGGGACAAGAAGCTGGCCGTGTTGTGGTAAGTCTCCCTGCGGTCAACAAGCAACAGCTGACATGTCGCAGAAGGATTTGGAAAAGTCCAGGGCAACTTAAGCTGCTTAGCCCAGACCGTTATTCTGGTTTTCCATTACACTATTAAAGGATAACTAATGGATTTCTCCAGTCGCTGACTAAACATCCCTCTCCTAATTTATACTCTGATCAAGAGGAGGTTTGAATGTTTACCCCTTCTCTTATAAAATTGTTCTTGTTTTATGCTCCTCAGTAACCACAGGAGGCTCGAGATGGCCATGTAAATGGGAATCAGCATTTTGCTTTACAGCTGATAGGTTTCTGAAAGCATCTGCATTCATGTCATGCCTCCCCAACAGCTACCGGTGTTTGTCGCTGCTCTACTTGCGGATGTTTAAGCTGAAGAAAGACCACGCTATGAAGTACTCCAGGTCACTGATGGAGTATTTTAAGGTAATCCTAATTTGGATCATTTATGCAGGCCAGGTGAACAAAACCGCTAACCAGGTGCCACCCTCCCGCCTCTCCTCGGGCTCAGCTTGGATTGGATTCCAGGCATAGAAGGTACACTCTTGAGCCCCTGCTTATTTTCTGGGCTGGCCCCATAAGGTCTTGTGCCTCAGCCTGCACCTGGGCCCCTTTAGGGCCCCTTTAGGCTGTGGCATCGGCGGGTCTTGTGTTTAGGTGAGCAACTAGCCAGGAAGTTTCTCAGCAGTGAGAGAGCACTCTGCAGCCTAGAATGGGTGCCCCCCACATTCCTGGTGGCGCTTGAAGACAAAACTGATGGCTTTGGTTAGCACCAAAATAAGGACATAAGCAACAAACAAAAGCTACATAGATGCAGAAATAACGAAGCAAATAGGTGTCTCTATCTACCACCTAGCACACCACCTGGCATTTTTTATTTGTAAGCAGAAAAGACTGTTTCAACCACAAAGTTTTGGGGGTGAATCAAGACCTTATGCTAGTCCCCCCACTGTACCAGGTAGCACTGACTTGAGGGTTCTTATGGCTTCTGTCCCCCAACAGTGGCCATGGTTTACAGGTAAGGACACTCATAGCTCTCCAGAGGAGAGGACACTTGATTTCTACTGATTTACGTATTTGTTTATTTACTCCCGAGCGCATGTGACCGCTTGTCCAAATTGCACCGCAGCAGTTGTTTAAAACCAGTCAAGTCATGCTCTTGCATCAGACATCTAAAGCCAGGCTGGACACAGCTAGATACAGGTGCTGCTTTGGGAACCACGGGCCCCCCGGCTGCACTGCAGTGGCCATCATGCCCTCAGAGCAAGGCCACGTGGTGACCAGGGGCAAATGTCACAGCCGGCCATCCGCCATACATGCGCAGCCTCAGCCTGCGCTTGAGAGGTAGTTCTGAGACCGGAGGGGCCCCCGAGTTGGCTGCAGGGGCCGCAGGCTGGAGCTCGCGGCCCCTCCTCAGCGGGTAAGTGGGATGGGGCCTGAGAACAGGCTTCCAGCACGTTCCTGGTTGATGCTGGTGCTGCTGGTCTTGGGTCACACTTCCACAGCCTCTGCTCTGGGACCCGCCCTCTTCCACCACCCTGCACAGCCCTCCAGGAGCTTCAGGTCCCCCCACCTGCTGCACCTCAAGCTAGTCTGAGGTTTAGAGCTGGACTTTGAGGCCTGCTCCAGACAAGCGCCACATGCTCACTGGACTCCTGGACATGAGACTCTTCCCCCAGCACCCCGTTTGCAAAGTAGACAAAATCAGACCCCAAGAGGCAGGGGAGCCAGACTGTGGCCAACTCGTGAGGCAGGCATGAGTCAGGCCCACCGCTCCCTGTGGCCTGGCCTATCTGCCTGTGCTCCAGCGCCCGGAGCCCAAGTCGCATCCCTGCCCTGTGGTGGTGCCCAAGGCCTGGGTCTGCTGTGCTTCACACGTGTGTGCCCGTGTTCTAAAGAAGCCCAGCTCCAGCAGAGGGAAACACTCAGCCTCATATGCCATGCAGCTCCGCACCAGTCCTATCGCTGAGCGGGAAAAGCTGTCAGCCATGAGAACGTGCATAGGAAAGTAGCAAATTCAGGTGATTAACCCAGAAAACAAGCCAACCCAAACCACAAAGTCTAGGCCCACTCCTGGATCCCAGAAATCACAGCCCACCCAGCAGCCCAGGGGCAAAGTTTGCAAGCGGAGTTAAGATGAAAAGCTTGCCTATACTCTGAAGATCTTGTTTCTGCAGAATAAATTTAAGATGGGGATAATTAAACCACTTCTTGTAGAACTAGGTCTGGTTTCACCTGGCCTTTTCGTATATATGATCTTTCATCAAGCGACTTTCATGGTCCTGATGGGAGCCCACTCATCACCCTCACCAGCTATTTCTGTTGAAGTGAGTCCTGGCGGAACTGCACACAGCTCTGCTAACGAAACAGGAAGTACCCCGAGATACTGTGATCAATATCCATACTCTATCGATGACCCCTCCATCTGTTTTGGAATTAATAGAACACCAAGTAGATGTCCTTATTGTCTTCTCTCTCTCTCTCTTTTAGCAAAATGCTTCCAAAGTCGCTCAGATACCATCTCCATGGGTAGGCAATGGAAAGTAAGTATTCTATGAGAATTGCTTTTTCATGAAAATGAATGCCTTAATAGACCCCGAATATTTTGTATTGGCAACTCAGGAGCAAAGGTCAACTCTGAGATGACAATCATTTGTGTGCCCACAAAACGCTTGTTGGGGCTCAGTGAATGGCAAGATAGAGAAGTTTAATAGGATGTAGCACCACAGTCCTTAAACCGTTTGATCTTTAAGCCAAACGATGGCCATAAAGATGTCTCTTAATGAGATGGCAAGCACCACGCCATTTCAGGGAGGCAGGAAAAAGTTAACTCAGCCGTGTGATTTCTCAATGATTCATTCTGTAATGAAAGACCGATGAAATATTCATTGATATATGGTAAGTACTGTTTAATAAAATCAAAGGCATAATAGTGCTGAAAATGTGAAAGCCCTTAGTCAGCCAATTATCTAAGCCTTCATGATGATTTTTATATTAATACTAAAATGTCCTGACCTAAAACGTAAGAGCATCTACTGCAAAGCTGCTCTACAGCCCTGAACTGGCCCCACCTCAGTGGCCATATTTCCGGCCTTGGCTATGTTTTGGGCTCTAAGCCACAGGTCAGCTTAGTCTCCACAGTGGGATGCGAGGTCACTGGCCAGCGCCAGGAGTCGCCTTCCTCTCTCTGGGTTTCTTCCTCCATTGCAAACACGGAAGGGCCCAACCGATGACTTCTGAGACCTCTTGAGAGAGGGATTTGGAATGGTGCTGCATGTGCTGGGGGCACTTACCGGTTTGAGCAGCAGTTTCTCCTCAGACCGCCTTCCCACTCCCCTCTTTTTCCATGCCCCTCCTCCCCCTCCCAGCAGGCAGGGAAGCTAGGTGACCTCAGACAGAGAAGCTCGCAAAGGGCTGCTTTTCCACTTTTTCAAAATTTGTATGTCTCTGATCAAAACGCTTTCTTCAGAGTGAAAGAGTTTCCTCTGCCAATGTATAAATATCTGCGAATCACACTCCCAAAGCAGTGGGATGATGAACTCTACTTTGAGATCATAAAAACATTCAGAGTGCGGGAACAGATCCATTAAGAACTACACATTAACTCAATTACTCTATTGAAAGAAAGTACCGTTTACATTGTTGAATTAGGTCTTACTCTTATATTAAGGAACAAAAGCAAGAGAACGCATCTCTGTGGAAGTTCAGAAAATAAAAATAACCATTGAAAGACCCAAAGAAAGCTATTTTCTCTGAGCACAGTAGAGCAAGGCCAAGTTCAGGTAAGCAGCCATTAAAGGATCACTGGAATTTTTTTTTTTTCTAATTCTGAAAGGAAAGAACTCAAACACATCCTAAGCTTGTGAAGTCACACTAAAAGCCTGCTGAAATGATTTTTTAAGCTGCTTCTGTCTGAAGAGAGCACACTCCCTCTAGCAGGCCATAAAGCTTTTTGAACAAGGCAGTGCGGAAGGGTTACGTTCCACTCCTTCAGCAAAGACTGTGGCCCCAGAGCTGGCTTCCCTGTACCCAGCCCTGTGGCAGGACGTGACAGATGCAGGCAGAGTTCTCTGGAAGCTCAGGAGAAAAAAACCCCAGGCTTCCCTGGATGGCCAGGAAGGGCTTCCTATTTGAAGTAGTTTCAACCAGTGATGAAATTGGTGGGCCCCACCCACCATCTCTCATAGAACCTTCCAGAAGCAATATGCCTCCCTGACCATGGGGCCTTGGGGAAGAATGCGCAAAGCAGAAATTAAAAAAAAATCTGCTTGGTATAGAGCAGGGGTTGGTAAAGTGTTTCTGTAAAGGGCCAGATAGTAAATTTGGCAGCCACAAAAATTTTACTTATAAAATTTGAAACATAAACACAATTTTTTGTACAAGTTCCTACTCAGCAGAGGCAATGGAATTTCTTTAAAATACCCTTTTGTTTGCTTTTGGTTCAAACTTAAGTGTTGCCTCTCACCAGGTGGCTTGCCACACAGAAACAGCTGGTAGGGTCCTATGTTTCAGCCCCAGCTATTGAGTCATGGAACCTCCATTGTAGAGGATTTTAAAGAACTCAGCAACAATCTCAAAGGTCACACAGGACAAAAAGTCAAGAAAGAAGGCGATGAGCTTGCGAAGGAGGTGGCCCTTGGAGCCCTTTGCAACCGCTCTCGGCGGCCGGTAGATGTGGACCTACTGGCAGGATTCCAGGGGGAGGGAGTGTCCACTGGTGCGAGGAGTCGGGTGGTCTCTGAAAGGCGTGTCCAAATCAAGCTGTGGCTGCGTGAACCTAGCTGAGGCCTCTGAACCTGCGCGAGGTGACCAGTGTGTTGAAGGTGAGGGTAGAGGCGACACTCATGCCAGGAGAAATCCTTAGGTTATGTGGTAGAATGGAAGGAAAATGAGCTTTGGAAAAACAGACCCACTTTCGAGTCCAGACCCATTCGCTCTGTAACACTGTGAAAGGAGCTGGACTTCTCTGAACCCTTTGTCTTCTGTGAACAGTGATGGCAGAAACTCACCACAGCGTTGTCATAAACTCGGAGAGACTCTCAGTGGTGCCAGGATGGCTGCTTGGCACACAGTAGCTTTACTGATAGCAACTGTTGCCGTGGCTTGGGCCGTCATTTTGCCCTGAGTTCGGCAGCATAAGCCCCTAGAATCCTGCAGGTTTTGCTCTCTACTTCCAGCGAGGCCCTATGCTGCTTGAAATGAATGGGTTTCACTCCCCTACTGGACAATGGCCCTTCTCAGTAAGGGACCAGTAGCTCTTTCATTCTCCATGGATAGTGCTCTCCTGTGCACTTCGCAAGCACAACACCCCTCCTCGTATTATGTGTTCCTCTTGTACCCTCTCCATGCCCCGTGCATGGCTGGAAGGCCATTCCTTCATGTATGTAGCTGGTATTCATTCAGCACATGATATGCGCACCGAGCACCATTCTGGATTTTGGGGCCATAGGACTGGCAGAAGTAACAGAAAGCCCCGCCCTCATCAGTGTCACGTTCTGCTGGAGAAAGACAGTAGAAAAAGATGCTGGGCACTGACTCAGGCCATCGAACAAATCCCAACAAGGCAGGGGCATAGGAAGGGGGGGGGGAGAGGTGATGGACTGAGCTTGCATAGGGTCATTAGTGGAGGGTTGGTGCAGGGTGCCTGTAAAACCTTGGGAGAGGAACATTCGAGCAAGTACCTCCACAGTCAGGACATGCCTCAGTCAGGACAGGCCTAATGGGCGGCACATAACTAACGGGCGTGCTTAACTAATGGGCCTGAGGAACAGCATGCAGGGAGTGTGGCCAAGAGGGCGGTGGGCAGCTCTGAGCAGGTGTTAGCTACAGGCATGCTGGGACGCATCTGCATGTGTCCACGTGCCATGAGCATGAGGAAGAGGGTCAGCAGATGGAAGTGAGGAGGAAGAGATGAGGACGAGGGACCCCGAGCAACAGGAACAGCCATGTTCCTTGGAGCATCCTGAGATGGGCGCTGCCTCGACCCAGCTTTGTCAGAGCCACGCTTCCGGGACTGCGTGCTGGGCTCACGTCACCAGTGCAGCGCCATGCACACGTGCCTCACAAGGGGGTTACGGAGCTTGCAGGGAGATGGGACAGGAGCAAGCCTGCCAGTCCACTCACGCCCTCACCACCACCACCGGCTGTTTAAAAGAAAGGAATTTTATCAACCACGAAGACTTTTTCAAAATGTAGGAGGTACCCAGAGGTGGCTTGTCCCTTGTGGCTTCTGGCCAGGACCGGAAGTCATGGAATCCAGCCATTCTCTCCAGGTGAGGAAAGGCCACAGAGGGCCGGCACGGGCTCAGAAGCTCCTAGAGATCTGGGGCGAGAATTCCATCCCCAGGATCCCAGCATGGCACGGTCCTTGTTCTGCAGTTGTGAGCAGACAGCTCTGCAATTTTTTCGAGATTACAGATGAGGTGTCATTCCTTTCTTGCCATAAAGTGACATTTAAGAGTTAATGACCAGCACTGGGGGAGAGAAACCAGCATTTGCATCCTGTACAACAAAGCCAAGGAGCATTTCCAATGCCTGTGCTTCTTGATTTGCAGCTAGCTAACTCTCCTGCACTCAGCTTGGCAGCTCCTCACCCGCCCCCTGTGAGAATGAATCTATCAAGAAGTTAGTAAACACCTGAGAAGTGACCAACAGAATAAGAAAACCTTCACATTCTACGTCAGACAGCGGGCCAGCATGGGCCCGCGCCTTCCGCTCACACTGGACGCACCAGAAGGCCTACTGCGCAGACGTGAGCACCGCTCCCACTTGAGCGGGAGTCACCATACGCTTTGAACTGCTTCCACTCCCGTCAGCTGCAATTGTGCCGTTTTGTGATGACTGTCCCCCAAATCCCTGGTGTGTGCTGCCTGTAGGGTGCACATCTGTTCTGCAGGCAGGGACTGGCTCCCAGGAGGCCCCCAGCCTGGAAGCAGAACTGCCCAAAGCAACAGTTGAGGCTGTGGACCCGGAGGGAGAGGAGGCTCCTTGATGTGGTGGGCTATGTGCACAGGAAAGAGGAGGAGCTTCCTTCAAACTGCAGACTCGGAGTCCCGAACCTCACTCCCCTCACCCACCTTCTCCGTGCGCTCGCTTTCCTCACATGTGCAGTCATAACAAAATAGTGCTTTCACCTGCATGAGTGAAAAGAGTGCATGCAAAGAGTGGCTGAGGAGAGGGAGGCCGGTGAATGGCGTGCGCAGACCTCGCTCAAATGTACTGGTGCCTGCGCGCCTCAGGGACAAGCAGGTCTGCAACAGCCAGCCTTGGCCGGGCCCCCATGCTGCATACAGCCAGCAGGTGACTCCGTATTGTGGACATTAAAGAACTAAGCAAAACTCTGTCTGCAGACACTGGTACTGCCCAGTGTAGGAGCTCCAGAGACTTCTTTGTAAAGCAGCCTGCAGAGCACTTCACAGTCCTCTCCCCCTTCCCTCATACTGCTCCTTGGGGGCGGAGCTTCTAAGAATCGCACTTGGCCTAGGGTGCTGACTGTTGTTTGGAGCCAGCTGTCCTGGTGCTTCCCACAAAACACTGCTGCTAGAGCCATGTTGCACTCAAGTCTTTCTAACTGCCAGTACCCATTGTGGCAGAGGCTGGGAGGGCATCGTCATCACCAGAGTTGCTTTCTCGGAAACATCACAGCACTTGTCCTCTTACAGTCAAAGGAAGAGCTGCATGTGCAGGTACCTCACTGCCAGAGGAAGACCCGCCCACCTCCCGTGCCAAGTCCTTGCTGGTTGTCAGAGGCAGTGCATTGGTGCTAGGGCAGGAGAAGGAGGGATCATTCTATGGCCTCACCCTGCAGCCCTGTGTCAGTTGGTAGATGGGGGGACTAAGCGCCTTCTAGGCTGGGGCCTCTGCAGAAAGGTGCCGTGATGGCAAAACCTCTAGGATGTCCTCTGGAAGAGTGGGGGCGGTGGAACTGGTTCCAGTCCACTGGGGCTCCCACCATGTTCACTCTGTCCAGCCTCGCTGTGGCCAATGGGGTTCTAGTAGGGCTCAGTGTGATGACAGAGGCCTAAAAGCTCTAAAATCCAGTTGTTGCTCTCCCCAACCAGCCTAATGAGGCTCTCATCCTGTTCCCCAGGAACACTCCATCCCCTGTGTCCCTCAACAACGTCTCTCCCATCAACGCCATGGGGAACTGTAACAACGGCCCAGTCACCATCCCCCAGCGCATCCACCACATGGCTGCCAGCCACGTCAACATCACTAGCAACGTGTTACGGGGCTACGAACACTGGGACATGGCCGACAAACTGACAAGAGAGAACAAAGGTATGCTTGTCTATCGACCTATTTTTCACAGACCAGGGTGGAGCTAACAGTGCTTGAAGGGCTTGAGTTTCCCATGGTCGCTTTATCTGTCTCTCTAGTTCCCAGGGCCTAGAGGAGGGACGAGCCCTACCTCAGGGCTGACTCAATGACTTGTTTCTGCTGAGAGAGTAGAAAAGGCCAGGAATTGTGTTCCCTTTTAAAGCTTAAACTAATCTGCACTGTGATATGTTGACAAGTAACTGCCTCAGATTTTTCACTCACCAGTAACATCAACACAGAAACAAGCAAAAGAATTATTTGCCAGTTAATTAGGATCCTGTTGGCTTCTGTCGTCAACTCTAATCTTTTATTTTTTGGACTGGTTGAACTAAGGCCTTCTGCTCGCCCCCACCTCCACCCCCGCTCTGGGGCTCCGTGTCACGTGGCCTGCATGCAGCGGTGTGGGTCTAGTGGCTTCCACACAAGGAGAGCCAGGGCGTAGGCTCGGCTCCTGCTCATGGGAACACTTGAGGCCTACAATGTCAGGAGACCCTGCTTGCCAGAGAGTGGCGCTTGTCGTTAGAGACTGCTGCTGGCTGGCTGTCACCCTCACTGTCACATCGGTTACAGTGAGTACTCAGTGTCATAAGGAGGGTGCACAGCCAGCAATAAGCCCACTTTCGCCCCGACCAGTCATTTGACTTGACTGGTTGTGGCCCAATAGTCAGAGATAGCCCTGCTCTGAGTACCACAGCCAATGTGGCCTTTGCTGCAGAGAGGCGACCAGCAGTCAAGGGCAGGAGCAGGCAGGTATCAGCATCCTCCACAGTCTAGCAGCCGCTGCAGGGCACGGTGTGGCGTATGTTGCCTGGAGGTTGGGTGCTGCAAGGCCCCAAGCAGTGATAGGGCTTTCCAGAAACCAGGTTGGGGCTGCAAGTCACCTAGGTGCAGGTTGGGGTTTTGTTAAACCCCAACGGTTTAACAAAAAAGGACTGACTGTACTTCCTGGCCTGGTTTTTCTCCCAAGCCCTCATGGCCCAAGCAGCTCTCCGTTCCTTTCCTTCCCTGGCCCCGGGATTGCAACCTGCATCCCTTCTCTCCGAAAATCCACTGCTCTAGCCTCTAGGAGCTTGTCTCCAGTGTCTGATGGAGGAAAGAAGCAGGACTTCCCAGCCCCTCCCCTCCATCTATCCTTACCAAATTCCCACCTGTTCTCACCAAATTCCTACCTATTCTTACCAAATTGCTCCGCTTGCAGTGAACGAGGAAGCACGCAGATCTGGGAGCCTGAGCGTTTCAGCCTGAATCCTGTGGGGTCACCCACTGGCTCCATCAAGTTAGATCTGTAAGCTGAGTCCAGCTTCCACACCTAGAATGGGCAATAATAATAGGAGGAGAAGGAGGAGGAAGGGGAGGACAAGGATGAAACCCTGCAGATAGGTGCTTTCTTTCCTTTCCCCAGTGCATTCTATATGTCTGTGTAACCCACAGAGTCGGGGGTGACCAAAGCACATACGCAATTTGACACCTTCCCTCCACCCCACCCACTCCGCCCAGCTTGACACTCATGCTGACCCCCGGGACTGCCCTCAGTGACCCACACAATAAACGGTTCTTGTGGACTTTTCTAGACTTCTGGAAGTCCACAGACAACTGACCTCGACAACTAGACCCAAGCAGGGGTTCTAGAAGTGTCAGCCAAGGCATAAGCATCTCGAGACTTGCCCAGCTTGTCTGACCCCGTTGCCCAGCTAATTTTGTATTGTGAACTAGAGGGCAGTTCCCTCCTGGTGGGTTCCCGTCCACACGCAGCCATTGCCAGGACCTGTCCAAGTGCGTCCTTCTAAATTATCCACAGCGTGAGTGGTGGGTCAAGGAGCCACCCACGTCCTGTCTGACGCTGAATCTAGACACCATCATTATACCTCAGAAAAGCTGTCCTAGTCAGGCTACCGTTGGACTGTCAGCCTGGGGAGGCTCCACGGTGCAGCGTCACTTACCAGATGCTGGTCACTTCTGAACTGCTTAGGGGGTGTCATTCTTTGCACATCTGTCTTGTCCACAGAAATAGGGAAGCCAAGGGACCTCCTTTTGCACCAGGGACCTGCGTCCCTCTGGAGGCAGCCGTGTCCCAGTTGTGCATTGGACATGTGAGCTTGGCTGCCCCTGGGCAAGGTCCGCTCCCCTGTCCACCCGTGTGGTGCTAAAATGGGCCAGTGGAATGGATGCCTCATCCTGGCCTTTGCTCTAGAGGCCTCTTCCCCACGTCCCCAAAAGCCGCAAGTGCTCATGAGAAGCGATTACTAAGATGGCAGCCTGGGCATCTGTTCAGGAATGCCACAGCAGGCTTGACCCAGAAGACCCACGGGACACGCCGCCCCTGCCCAGCTGGCAGCCTCTTGACGATGAGTCGGTCCTCTCCCCTGTCCCCTAGTACCACATTACAGAAAAACTGCTTTAGGTGCCAAAAATCATTTGCCGCTTTATCAGCAGAAACTACTTTTATTGCCTAGTACAGGTTAAAAAGTATCGCATAATCAAATGAAGCTGATGCCAAGAGAAGGAGCCCATATGTTAAACACAGCGTGGCGAACACACGCGTTGTCTGGTGAAGTTCCATCTGGCGGGCGGGCGGGCAGGGGGCAGGTGGGTGCTTGTAACCGTGAGTGGAAACTGCACTCCGGCAAGACAGGGGAGTGTCCCAGCCCCGTAAGGCACTGCCCAGAGCCCCGAGCCCAGCGCCAGGGGATCCCCTAGCCAGCACTGCTGGCTCTTTCAGCAGCTACCCAGAGGGCATCCGTGGGCCCTCTCACATGAAGGCCGCCGCAGCACCAGCCACCTCAGTGCAAACGTGAACAAGGAAAGCCTGGCACATTCGAGACATGGCACAGTTTCTCCTCCAGCCCCCCCCACGCCCCCCCAAGTCAGACTTCCTAAAACGTGTGAGCAGCGTGGCCGCCACGCTGCCCCTCCCCCAAGTCCTCAGTGGCCAGCCAGCACGCGGCAAATGCTAGTCGCTTCTCTCACTTCTCTTCCCCGAAGTCACTGCTGCCGAGACCCGCCCCCAGTTGGACCCTGTCCACCCGCCCACACACTCCCTGGGCCTTGGGTGGTGAGGCGGCGGCCCTGGCTGTCCAGTGCGCTGCCTGGGTCTACAGAAGCCCAGCAATGGGGCTTTCAACAAAACGAAAGGACACGATTTTCAATTCAGGAACATAATGACTAATGGTCTGACCTCATCTAGACCTTGGCTCCCTGGGCTTTGCGTACGCGGACCCTAATGCCTAATACATAGATGCCGAGGGTAGAAACGCCTACACCCCGCATATAGTAGAGGTTGCAGTACAGTTTTCTTTCTGTGCCTAGTTTTAGTGTCTTCACGTGAAGACTTTTATTTCCGTGTGCTCGTGGCCATATCACACAGATATCTACAGGATTGTGAGTGTACTGTGAGAATGTCTCGGGAAATGTACAGTGAGTGAAAGCCCCTTAAGGCTTTCACTCATTGTACATTTGTGGTACTCCTCAAGATCACACAAAAGGCCTTCGCCCACGGAGTTTGGGGAGCTGCAGGGAGCGCTGCCCGCAGGGTGGCGCTGGGATATTGCCACAATCGCTCTGAGAGGCCTGACCCCGCTGCTCTGACTTTCAGAATTCTTCGGCGACCTGGACACGCTGATGGGGCCTCTGACCCAGCACAGCAGTATGACAAACCTGGTCCGCTACGTTCGCCAGGGACTGTGCTGGCTGCGCATTGACGCCCACTTGTTGTAGTGGGTGCTCCCCCACCTCAAGCATCGCCGCCCATCGCCTACCTCTACCAGAAGCACCCCCGGTCGCTGGTGGAACGCCTCTCATTTGGGAAAATTCTCTTTGATTCTGTTTGTTTTAATATGCTTCTTTTGATATCTGTGAAAACCAGAAGTCATTGTAAGTGGACACTACAACTGGCGAGCAGTGTATGTTTTATTACTTAGTCATTTTTCACTCTTTTATATGCATTTGTCGGATCCCACCATCCTTTTGTGCTTGATGAAATGACCCAGTCAGTCCCTACAGTCTTACGTCCACACTACCGAAAAGGAAGAATGGAAAGCATTGGTGATGACAGCAGGTTCTAAAAATGAAATGGCACATACGTGCATGTGTGTAGATGCACAGGTCTCCATTTCGTTTCATGCCCTCTATGTGAACTTACACACAAAGGACCTGCAAAGATTCGGATTTTCAGCAATAGCCGTCCTCAAACTGTGCTCTGGTGTCCAGGAAACAACGCATTTCAGAATCCACTGTCAAACTTTTATGGTTCCCACAGACTCAATCTTCAGGTGAGAATTTCCATTGTCAAAACCCAGCAGTCAGACAGCATAGCAGAAGCCTCCTATCCAGGCTGGTGAGGAGATAAATGAGCACAGCAGGCCACTCTTCAGCTGAGGCTGTGGCCACACCCAGGGGCTCGTTTGGGGTCAGCAGCCCTCTCCTGGATCCCTGTTTTTTAAATTTGTATGGTGAGAAGGAGCAGCGACGTTCATTTTGACAACTCCGTGACATCAAGTGGCACAAGCATTTTTGAACTCCAACAGGTGAAGCATACATCCTCATCTGGATTCTCTGTGTAAAGTTCTCCTTCTGAGGGGCAACTGACTGGGTTTCCGGCCTAGTGGCCAACATGCTACATTTCAGTTTTTAGTGAGGAGAGCCAGGAGAGACCTGGAGCACACCCAAGTACGTGGACCCTTGGCCACTTTTGCAGCTGGTAGGTGGGCCCATAACTGGCGGGACTTTTTTTAATTGTACTCTGTTCAAGTCTCTGGAAACAAAGGTCAGGTGATCACTACCTAGAAGAATCTACAGTTTGCTTCCTAGTGGCTTTCAAATTCTGGACTGCCCTAATTATTGTCCACATTTCCTATTTTATGGGCTTTTTTGTTCTTCTTCTTTTGTCTTTTTCTTCTTTTTACTTTTTTTTTGTTTGTTTTTGTTTCATTAGTTTTTGACTGAAATGCAATCACTGATTTTCTTCAATGTATATTAGCATAAATCATTTCCATGAAATTTCCAAAGAAAACTCCAAACTCTCCTAAGAAGCAGCTAGCCTTTTAACAAAGAAAACAAGTCTTGGGGTAATGTTCCATCCTAGGGTGCTTGGAAGGAGCCCTGAAGATCGGGAACAGGTCACCTAATTTCCACATCAATTGCAACTATCCCCACCCCTTGTGGCCCCTGCATTCACTTTATGGAAACATCACAGTGTAAATATCATCTTCGGTGTTCCAGGAGAGACCACATGTAGTCAACACTAGCCATGCATTATTCTTTGTAACTATCTGCTGGTATCTAATACCACGTAGCTTCTCATCTGCTGCGTTACTGAATCCTGCTCACTGAATTACGACCAGAGGAATAATAGTTACATACCTGTGCCAGATGCCAACTTGTATGATTGGGAAGCAAGTCATGCAAGCCTGAGACAGGAACAGCACAGGGTCGCACTGCAGTCTCACTGTCAAGGTTAGCTGTAGCCCTGGTTGCAAAAGAGCGACACCTGAACTCCACTCTGCTCATCTGAGTTGAAGGCCCTCTTATATAATAAGGCTGTGGATGTCCTGCTCCAGCAGCTGAGGCCACGTTCAGACAGTCACTGGGGGCATCCTGGCCGCTAGCGCCAGTGTTTTATGTCCCACGTAAAACACCACTCACATGTGTAGACACGCACACACAGATGCAATCGGAGGCATCTCTTCTGAGCCTCTTCAGTGAGGACTATGACAACAGGATAGACTGAACACCCAAGGTGGGTGTCACATATAAAATGAAGCTGATGGCTTTGCAGTGACTCCAGTTCTCTGTTCATTTTCATGGCTCACCAGGTACAGTACCTGGTTTTTAACTATATCATGAAGCCCACTGGCTTGACTCGTAAGTTCTACCTAGACCACATCCTAGACCGTCATGGATTTAGGAGTCACTTCTTGAAATTCAGTCTCCAGAAACCAGACATTACAATGCTAGAGCAGTTTCCCAGAGAAACACGCACAGTGCCCAGTAGACAACGGGCTTCCAGGGGCTCTAGTTGCAGCAGGTTGTTCTATCTGCTTTCCATCCAACAGGGGGCAGCAGAGGGTCCTGCCGCCAGCTGCCACCTCTGGTGGCTGAGTGCACAGTGCACGCCCCAGCAGCAGCACAAGGATCACCTGTGCCAGTGGAGCTCAGGATCACCACCTGCTTGTTTAGCACAACCCATTTTGAAAAGCAGCTTAGAAACCGATTAAACTCGAAGGACGAATTGCCTTCTCCTTGGAGATGGGACACCGCTGGGCTTCGTGAGGACCGTTTCTGTTTTCCAGGCAACGTGTCCGTCACATAAATGGTGGCGTGTGTCATAGCTGTGCTGCTATTTGAAGGGCTGAGATATTTTGTCAAGGGGTTCTCTTCAGTGCACCAGTTCGGTGGGGGGGGGGGGGTCCAAGACGGGCAGTGAGTGATCCCTGCCCTCGCCCTCACCCGGGGCTGAGTGAGACCCATCTCAAGCACTTGGAGGGAGGGGATCGGGCAGAGGCCCAGCAACCTGTACACGGAGGGCGTCAGCCCTGCAGGGGACCCAGGCAGGGCCACCATTATGCCTTCATCTGTCACCCAAGCTCCAACCACAGAGAGTTTGACCGGTTTGTGTTAGGGTGTTGGCTTGGCTTTGTATTTTTAATTAACTTTGGATTTTTTAGTGGTTTTGTCATATTACTGTCTGAGTTCGGTAGGTAGGATTAATTTGAAAAAAGTATACTAGTGTGGTCCTCGGGGTAGAATTTAGCCGTGAGCGTGTTGTTAGCCAGCCTGTAGATTGTTAATTACTTCATAATCTCATTGGGAAAATACTAGTAGTTTTATATCTGGATGACATAATTGGGAAAGCAGATTAGCTGCTCCTAACTTGTGAAAGACTCGAGGCTGGGACGCCTTTTTCCATGTAATGACATCAAAAAGGCTCAGACCTTCAGTCAATAACTGAGTTGCTAAATTAGGGGGAAAAAATGGGCTAAAATGTATTTTGTTGAGTTTCCAAATAGATGGCTGTTCATGTGGGCATTGCATCGCAAAGTGCGCTGGAAAGATCCTTTTCCTACAGCACCTTCCCCAAAACTCTCCTTTTATTCAAATTTGCATCCTGGAGGTTGAAGCTGGAGTGTGAAGTCAGAAAGCATGTTTGAAGGCAGAATTGACTTAGCTGTGAGGGTGAAGCCCTCACATACTTCTCAGCAGCCACGATAAAGTCCACCTGCTGAGTTGGCAGGCGGGAGAGCCACACTGGGCCACTGGGTAGGACTACTCAGGAAGGCAGTGAGTTGCTTGCTTAGAGAAGCATCACCATCCCCATGGAGGAACGTGTGGCGAGACGCTATCATTACACAGCATCAGATGGAGGGGCCATTCAGTGTCCCCATTCAGTGCTGTGGGGTAACACTGGAGCCAGTTGTCACGCTCCGCTGCAGACTGGCAGACTAACTCTGTCTTGTCGCTGTCGCCATCGTGCTCATTTCCACGCGCACAGCCCTGTTCTCATAATTAAACTCTGATTCATTTTCTCTTTGGTGTTAGCAAACCCCAACAGAAATGGCTTCTGTGTATTGATAATCAGCATTTACCCTGGCAGGAGGCTAATCGGATAGGCTGCTCTCAGACGTTAATCTGATATTTCCTGGGAAAGAAAATTATTAATTCCCTTTTCATTCTCCTCCTCCTCACGGATCTAGAAACCCTCTTTACCAGAAACATCCCATTTTCCTCTGTAATCCATCGACTAAAAGAAAACTGCATTGTGGGGAGGGCGGAGGGGAGGGCGGGGGTGGGGGTAGAGGGGAGGGAAGCCCCTCCAGACCAGGCTGCAGTTCTTGCCCCTTTCTGCTTCTGACATGAGATGTTCCTGAATCGTTCCTAAGGCTCGCATTGGGTTAGGGGAACTGAACTGCTTTTCCAATCCATGATCAATCATCGTTCTTCTAAGAGATCGGAGCTTTGCTGTTTCATCAACTGTGCAGTGTAGACTAATGGTGTTTAATAAAAATCATTCAAAATTTCAAACTCTTTTGCCAGTGACCTTAATTTTGTTGGCTCTTTGATTTGTACCAGACTTTGAGGCGGGCAGGGGAAGCCAAGGAAGCCTGCCTGTCAGTGCCACTCGTGCGCAGAAACACATAGAACAGCTGTGGGAAGCCTCCAGAAGAAAACCCAGTGGTACTTTCAGCTGGGGGTAGCTTGTTCCTACCGAGGGGACGTTGCTCTCCCACCCCCGCAGCAGGAAGCCAGCTGTAACGTCCGGAGCTTCATAAGCAGTGTCTCTGCTTTGCCCATAAGCTTTGGGCCCGCAGCCATCCAGTGGCTGCTACCCAACAGGAAGTCTTTGAGAGCAGAGCCCAGGGGTGACAGTGGGAAGGGAGACTCATCCAGATGCCCACACCCGGCTGTGATTCTATCATGCTTCTGGCCTCGAGAGAGTTGTCTCTGGACAGGAAGAACCATCGAGAACCACCCATCCCCACCAGTTGTTTCACAACTGGCTCTGAGAACACAAAGCAGTAGATCTGTGGTGGCTGCCCGCCTCTGTGGCATATGCACTCCCACTGTAGCCAATGTGACGCTACCATGATGTCACTGGACCTTGAGCTGGCAGGAGATGTATACAAAGGTGGGTGATTGGGCAAGTCAGCTCCATGCAGGGGAGAATGCAGCCAGCCAAAGAAGGTGGGGTTTCATGTATGCATTCCCGTAGCCATGCACACGTGCACACACGTCCACTGCAATGACAAGCTATCATGTCCTTTGCAAATCTGAATCAATCATCAGTGCATG